AAAGATTAGTGTATAAATATAGAGCATTACTCGTAGTGCAGAAGTACATTTTGGAAACTGCTGTTGAAGTGTAATTACAAAGATTAGTGTATAAATATAGAGCATTACTCGTAGTGCAGAAGTACATTTTGGAAACTGCTGTTGAAGTGTAATTACAAAGATTAGTGTATAAATATAGAGCATTACTCGTAGTGCAGAAGTACATTTTGGAAACTGCTGTTGAAGTGTAATTACAAAGATTAGTGTATAAATAGGATATGAAAATGGTAGCTAGAAAAACTAATCTATACCATCAAAATATAGCTTGTCTTTTAAATTGGTAGCTATAGTGTGTTCAAGTTAATTATTAAAACATTTTGACTGATAACTTTGGTTGAGGCATAAAGTTGAATTTTATCTTTGGGTACAGTTCCCCCAAGAATAGTCCATGGTGATACTAGTGACTATGTGGTTGTCGAAGGGGATCCTGTTGTACTTCCATGCAATGTACAGGGGGACCCCCGACCTATAATCACCTGGCAGACGAATGGCATCCCTATCCTCCCATCTCACCCCCACTACCATATCAGTGTTGATGACAATTTGCACATTCTGGAAACTGTGGAACAGGACACTGGAACCTATGTGTGTACGGCAGCTAACCTTGCTGGTGTAACCAACAAAGTAACTTCTCTGCTTGTGCAGGGTAGGTTGTGCTTTAACCATTAAAAAGATTTTAAATCAACAGTAAAAATCTTTAGACTTCCTAGCAGTAAAACTATTTCTCTTCCTTATATTATCAAACATTTTTTGAGTTTAAGACCATACATGAAACCAGGGAGAAATCTAGACTCTGCTCTTGCAAGATGATCAAAGTGGTTTAGATACTAGTTACAAAATCAAACCTATAATGTGTCACATATCATAGATAGGTAGGCTGAATGCTGAAATTGAGAAAAACTTCATCTCTAAAACTTCTACATTTAGTATTGAGGCCAGTATGTTAAGGTGCTGAGTATTCCTTTAATAGCTCAATGACAAAAAATTGTTTAGTGTTTCATGTCATGAAAGATATTAATTTGAATAGGAGTTTTATGCAGAATATTATAAATATGTTGCCTTATGAATACTGTATCCTGTTTTTAGTGCCACCAAGAATTTATCCATCCAGAGAACTTTTTGAAGTTATTGAGGGAGATCGTGTTGTGTTGCCGTGTAAGGTGCGAGCTGTTCCACCTGCTCAGATTCGATGGAAACAAAGTGGTTCATTTTGGCAGCCCAACAGATTGGACTTTGCCCAGCTGAACAATGGGAGTCTACAGTTTGTAGCACAAGTAACTGATGCTGGAGAATATTTCTGTGAAGCAAGCAATGTAGTAGGCAAAGATACCAGGAAGATGGTTCTGAGTGTTTTAGGTAAGACATGCTACAGAACAAGTAAACCTTGTGTCTGTAATCATTTGATATCTTAGTAGCCATTTGCAGGTGTGTACACTGTATATTAGTTAGAATTTTTATTACTTTGTATCAATAAATAGATTACCAAGAAACTATATTTATATTCAACTAACATGATGTATCACCTGTCAGTATTTAGCTTATACTCTAATGTATAATATGGATTCACTGGGCACTAGTTCACCCGTGTTATACAGAAACATATTTAATACTCTAAACTCACTTTACACTTTAATTGTTTAACCTTGTACTATTGAACACTAGTTCACCCGTGTTATACAGAAATGTTTTATTTAATACTCTTAACTCACTTTACACTTTAATTGTTTAACCTTGTACTATTGAACACTAGTTCACCCGTGTTATACAGAAATGTATTATTTAATACTCTAATTTCACTTTACACTTTAATTGTTTAACCTTGTACTATTGAACACTAGTTCACCCATGTTATACAGAAATGTTTTTAATACTCTAAACTCACTTTACACTTTAATTGTTTAACCTTGTACTATTGAACACTAGTTCACCCATGTTATACAGAAATGTTTTATTTA